GGGGTGGGGGGATGGGTTAGCCTGGTGATGGGTATTAAAGAGGGCACATTCTGCGTGGAGCACTGGGTGTTATGCACAAACAATGAATCATGAAACACTACATCAAAAACTAATGATGTAATGTATGGTGATTAACATAACAATAAAAAATTATTTAAAATGGGGGGAAAAAAAGAAAGAAAATATACTGAACCTCACTACATACATTTTTCCATACAGAAAAAGATCTACTTTAGATCCCTGCATTACCACTTTTGAATTTAATTTATCTTACAAAAAACAAAAAACAAGGGTGCCTGGGGGGCTCAGTCAGTTCAGTGTCAGACTCCTGGTTTCAGCTCAGGTCACTATCTCAGGGTTGTGAGATCAAGCCCCACATGAGGCTCTGCACTCAGGGCAGAGACTGCTTGAAACTGTCTCTCCCTCTCCTTCTGACCCTCCCCCTGCTCACTCACACATGCTCTGTCTCTCTCTCCTAAAATAAATAGACCTTAAAAAAAAAAAAAAAACTAAACTAAATTCCACAGCAATTCTTAAAAATAAAAATAATTTAAATTTAGCTTTGGGATAAAATGTTGTTTTTTTTTTTTAAGATTTTATTTATTTATTTGACAAAGAGAGACACAGCCAGAGAGGGAACCCAAGCAGGGGGAGTGGGAGAGGGAGAAGCAGGCTTCCCACCGAGCGGGGAGCCTGATGCGGGGCTTGATCCCAGGACTCTGGGATCATGACCTAAGCCGAAGGCAGATGCTTAACGACTGAGCTACCCAGGCGCCCCTGGGATAAATGTTCTCAATCATACTTTTAAATGGTGAGCAAATTTAAGATGAATTTGTGGGTAAGCCTATAAATGAGGGCAATCACAAAATATTCAATGATATTCTGGCTACACAAAAAACTAATTTATTATCTGAATGTGAACAAAAACAATAGCAAGATTTTTTAATTAAAAAATTCTAAAATCTCTGAAGTAGTTATGACATTTGCAAACTCAAATCAAAATATCAGTACATCTTAAGTGGAAAGAAATCAGATAACATAAGCAGTATTAATTCATAATCAGGGAACTAAACATTTACTTTAGGTTGAAACAGACATCAGAGAAGGAAAAATATTAAATTATTTGCCTAGATATTTAGTTCATTTTAAGTCCCTGTCATAAGCTGCTTTTTAAAAGTAGAAAAACTGAAGCTCATAGTTCAACAAGAACAGAGTTTCAAAAAATACCAAATAAGCATTAGATCATATATAATTTTATTTAAATCTATTCAAATTTTTTAAATAATCTACCTGAATCCTCCTGGGCTTCATGAGTTTCACCATCATCTGTTACCTCTAATTCTTTCACAAAATTTGAGGGAAACAGTCCCAACTTGTTGTTCAGCGTTCCACTCCACCAGCCTTCTTCTACCTGAAAGAGTTCACAACTCAAAAATAATAAAAAGTTCTCTTAAGTAAAATTGTCCCGCTATGGGAAAATTAACCTACATAAGTGAATGAGCACAAAGTTAGTGATGCAAAATAATCCCCCTAAATCTGTAAGAAAATAATGGTGAAAAATATATTTTAAGTAGATTAAATCTAAATTGATTAGACTTATCATATATGGGATTAGTCATATCAGTAGCACTTTAGAACATTTACAATGAGAATTTGTAATCAACTGCAATCCACGGTGTAATTTTTATAAAAATACCAGATAACCAAGAATAAGGTATTAATAGCAGGAACTCTTCTGGAACATCACTCTTTTAAAGAACACTAAGCCTCAATTTTGTAATTATTTCAATATTTGTAATATGTTTCATATATTATTTAAGTATATGAAAATTCAGATTTAGAAAAAGTTTGATGAATATAAGACTATACCTTCCCAAATGCCACATAAAATTACTAAGCCTTTTACTTAAACAGTGAATCTTAACCCAAGTAAGAAAAAGAACACTCCCCAAACATCAGCCAGAAATATCCTCGGGAACCAAACTCTTTAGAAAAATATTTACATTCACTAGTAATAAGGTTACTAATTTTCATGGTTATTTAATACTATTTAATAATTTTTAAAATGTATAATTTTTACTAAGGATGCTAAAAGGTCTTAATAGGTTAAAAAAAATTTTAAGAGTAAACTATTCACTGTTAAGAGCAGAACATGAAATATCACTGCTAGAAAAGGCTCTTTATTTAAAATGTTTTAAATGTTTTTCACTTCAGAATTACAAAGCAAACTTTAATAAGTTATTCGTCCAACAGGCACTCACTATGTATGAGCCATGGTGTTGACTGCTAGTGAAAGACTGAGATTTGCATATGAGAAATCTCTGCCCTTGAGTGAAACAATCTAAAGAAGAAAACAAATACTAAGCAGATATTACAATGTAATGTAAGAGGTACTACAACAAAAGTATGAACAAATTGCTATAAGAGCACAAAAGAAGGGCTTAAAAGATTCAAAAAAGGCTTCCCTAAAAAGAAATAACAAAAAAACTGGATATTAAAGGCTAAATAAGAGTTTTCTAGGTACAAACCAAGTTAAAAATACGGTGACATAAAAATAAAGGATTTATTCCTGGAACATATACAGCTGAAATACAAGGCAGCTAGAATACAAACTGTTGGAGGGAGAAATGGAAGGCTCTTAAGACTGAAGAGTTTAGAATTTTTCAGCAGACTTAAGGAGACACCAAAGGATTGAGAGTTCTTCAAACCAAGGTGATGGAAATACACAGACCAAACTGTAACAGATACAACTGAGAAAAACATCAGGAAACTTAATTATCTACACCTGCAATCCCAAATTGGCAGCAACTGAGTAGTTAGGGTAAATAACCTTGTAATTCCCATAAATTAAGGAATTCCTAAGAGGCAGGATAGTATAGCAGTAAAGAATAATGACTCAAACTGTAGATTCAGATTCTGGCTCCTCTGCATCCCATACATATGGACTTGGGCAAAAATGGCTGAAACAAGATCTCCTATCCCACATGATCATCTACAAGGTAATCTTGACATTCCACCAACAGATGGTCTTTGTTCCATTGCCTTCAATCTTGCTGGCTTTTGACATGCTTGTAGCCAATAGAATATGGTGAAAGTAATACTATCACTTCCAAGGTCAGATTATAAAAGGCTATCACCATGTTTGCTGAAATGTTTACACTAAGAGCCCTGAAATGGCATGCAATAAGTCCAACTATCTCGGGGCCTCACACAATGAGAAAGCCAAGTCAAATGGAGAAGCTACCTAATAGGTCCCCAGAGGTAGTCTTCGAGCCTTTTAGGTACCAACCACGTCAGTTAAGGCGCCTTCCCATGATTCCACCAGCACCCGAACTTTGAGTCTTTCCAGTTGAGCCCTCCAGACATCTTGGAACAGAGGCACAAGCCATCCCAACCGTGCCCTTTCTGAATTCTTGACTCACACAACCCATGAACCTAATAAGGTTCATTGGCTACAAAGTTTGGGCCGGCATGTTATGCAGCAACAGTAACTAGAACAGCCAATCACTTATCTTCCATGACTCCATCTCTTCATATATAAAATGGATATAAAAATTCCTGTCTCCTTAGGTTGTTTAGAAATTTAAAGAAAATAAATGTGAAACACTTAGCATAATGCTTTAGACACATAGCCTCAATAAACATTATTATTATTGCCACCTGGTAGAAATAAAACAGAATTGTCTCATATATATATTGGAATTTAATATAAACATTAAGTGATAAATTACATTACATGATGTTATGACATAAAATCAATCCCTATGACTATATCTGATATCAAAACATATACTTTGAAAATGGGATCTTCAGCTGCCAAATGAAGTTTTTAATATTCTTTTAATGGTAAAAGAAGAGATATGAAAGGTTATGTCTACCATCTTTTTAAATCTCACTGTAAGATATTAAAATGTGGGAAAAGTGTTTTTGGTTCACATTTGAATGTGACAATTCAAACCAGGCATAGCTTTTAAAAAGATTCTGTTTTTTGTATCCCTGCTATGCAGAAGGTAAAACTGCTTCTATTTTACTGCTTTGGGCCTAAAGTGAATTCAGAATCGAAGAAAATGTTTTATTCTTAGCTACTTAGATTACATTAATCTTCAGCTTAAAAATTTTTATTCCTAAAGTCAACACATACAAATACAGTACACAAATAACCAGGTATAGTTAAGAATTTAAAGCTTTATTCCAACAGGTAAGACAACCTTACATTAAGACATTAAAGAAGCATTTTAAAACCTGTATCTTAAAATTTTTATAAAATACAATGAAACTGGCAAAAAAAATTAATGAAAAATTAATACTCTTATAAAGCAGTTTTCTAATACCCAGAGCATCAATTCCAATTGCTGCTTTATCTCTAGCATGTTTTCCTTACCTCTTCACTAATATCAATAATATCTCCCACTTTCAGCTCCAGTTCATCCTCATTTTGTGGAATGTACTCAAAGAGAACTTTACACTGACGCTTCTTGGTCTCTGAAAGAAGTAACAGTAAAAAATGAAGTTAAGAAAGATCATTAAAACAAACAATAGCACCTTTATTTACACACCATATTTATTGCCATAGAATTCATATGTATGAATAAAACAGAACACATAAGCATTCTAAGCAGCTAACCACTATCAGTTCTGGCTGGCTTTTCACCTTGCCCCCACATTACGCATGCCAAAATAAATTCAAACCAAATACAAATAAGGTACATGGTTCCCAGCCATGAAATCTATTTATACATCTAATCCCACCAATTAGACCAAAGTAAAATATCCAATGCCAATTTTGAAACTTAAAATATAAACAATAAAAGACACTGTTGGCACAACAAATTTTTTCACAGACAAGCTGTCTTCCAAGCCAGTAATTTTCAGACTACTTCCTGATCAAAGTCTGGAAATACTAAAAATGCACTAATTTAAGAGTGTCTGTGTTAAAAAGTCACAAAATGAACAAGTCCAAAATGTATCTTATATTAAGAGTTCTATTTTCTGACATATAAAAATCAAACTCACGTAGGTAAAGATAATAATTTTACTTAAAGTTTTCAAACAAGTTTCATTTATTTAAATAAGTGACGATCATTTATAACCATCCAGGTTTGTGGTTCTCAACTTCTTTCAAACTCTAAGAGTTGAGAACTCAGATTCACCCCCATCTTTAAAATTGACTCATTAAAGCACCTATGGGTAGATGATCAGGTATAACTGATTCAAGGATAACTTCTTACTATTCAAAGTATGTTCCTCAGACCAGCAGCAAGAAATGCAGTATCTCAGGCTCCACGCTGGACCTACCCATTATGGACTGAACTGTGTCCTTGACTATATTGGGAGGTAGGGCCTTTTGGGGGAGGTAATTACGGTTAAATAACATCATAAAAGGAAGCCCTAATCCCCCCACACACTTAATTGTGCACATGTGCATGTGGGCATACACACACAAAAGGCCATGTGAGGATACAGGGAAAAGGCAGGTACTTGCAATTCTGGAAAAGAGGCCTCATCAGAATCCAACTCTGATAGCAACTTGATTTTAGAATTCTAACCTCCAGAACTATGAGAAAATAAGCCTCTGTTGTTTAAGCCACCTAGTCTGGGGTATTTTGTTATAGCAGCCCTTGCAGGTTGAATCAAAATCTGCAGTTTAAGATCCCCTAGATGATTCTTAATCTTGTACTCAGTGATCTAATTATACTGATTTCTAATTGCTTAAAAATGACAAATCCTATTCCTTCTAAGACTTAAGTATACCGTTTTTTTGAGGCACCTGGGTGGCTCAGGCAGTTAAGCGACTGCCTTCAGCTCATGATCCCAGGGACCTGGGACAGATCCCCATGTCAGGCTCCCTGCTCAGCAGGAGAGTCTGCTTTTCCCTTTCCCTCTGCCCCATCCCTGCTCGTGCTCTCTCATGCTCTCTCTCTCTAATAAATAAATAAAATCTTTAAAAATATATATACTGTTTATTTGGCCAAGGACGCTTTACTTTCATCCACAGAGTCCACCTTTCTCGGGCTTCAACTCATTTTCAGGTCTCAACTAAGAAGAAACCTCTTCCCAAATAGCTTTCTGAATTAGGTACTCTTCTTTTGTGTTTCTATAGCACCCTATACTTACACTATTTAATTCTGTAACCTACCTGTTACTGACAACTCACTTTTTCCTTTTTATTCTATCATAATGATTTATTTTCATGTGTGTACACCCCATCCTCTGTAGGCTAAAGATAAATGGGCACTGAGTTTAATTGCTTTCTCCCTAGTATCTAACATAGTGCCTGGCCTATGTCAGGCCCATTAAATATTTTTGAATGAATTAATGAACAATTATCTAGGCCTAACTATATGGCATTAATGCCAAGAAATATCATGCCAAGAGTATCTACATTCCATCAACCCTTTACCACCAACAATCCTGTGACTTTTCTTAATAAATTAAATGCACACTTAAGCAACGAAAGGAATTTAGGAAACAGGCAACAATTAGTAATAAAATACAAATATATAATGAGATAGTAAATATTTAGAGCAAACTACAAATATCCCAAAAATTAATAGAAAGGACAGGTTTGAACTGAACAGATGTGGAAGAATTCAAAGAAAAATGATCAGAGTTACACAACTAAAGATGAACACAATATAAGAAGGTGGAAAAGACGCGGCAGATATTCTAGATAAAAAAGTTTTCCCAGGGGCGCCTGGGTGGCTCAGTCGGTTAAGCGTCTGCCTTGGGCTCAGGTCATGATCCCAGGGTCCTGGGATTGAGCCCCGCGTCGGGCTCCCTGCTTAGCAGGGAGTCTGCTTCTACCTCTCCCTCTGCTGCTGCCCCTGCTTGTGTTCTCTCTGTGTCTGTCTCTCTCTTTGTCAAATAAATAAATAAAATCTTTAAAAAAAAATTTTTTTTTTAAGTTTTCCCAAAGAAATAGGAGTTGATAATACAAGGATTCTAAAGAAATTGTTGCTGACAACAAAACAGAATGCTGAAAAGCAGTCTAGATAGATACAACTTCACTACATCAAGTCATAACCTCTCCAAATAAACTTCTGTATACAGTAAAAAAAAAAAAAAAAAAGATGCCATGCTACAGAAGAAATAACACTAGCTTGGAAGTCAGAAGACTTGGGTTCTAGTACATCTGTCATTTCCTCATTATTTGACCTCAGTTCTCTGGGAATCAATGTCCTGAACTACAAAATAAAAGAGCTGGACTACACAACCATGACCGTTACTTCAGCTCTGATGTTCTATGGATCTATCAAAATTGTTTACCAAAACAAAAATATAAATCCAACTGAACCTCCAACAAAACAATAAAAGCAGCAAATTACATGCAATCAACACATGAAAGAGGTGCAAAACAGATGACAATCAAATAGAAAAATCTAGTCTCCAAATAAGAAACAGTTACACCTCAGTAATTGTTTCCTCCACTTCATAATGGAATATCTGATTTTAAAAATGTTTTACAATAGAAGGAACCAAAGAAAGTAAACACTGACCATACTTTTTTTTTTTAAGATTTTATTTATTTATTTGAGAGAGAGAGAGAGCATGCGAGCAAGTGAGCACAAGCAGGGGGAAGGGCTGAAGGAGAGTGAGAAGCAGGCTCCCCGCTGAGCAGGGAGCCTGATGTGGGACTCCATCCCAGGACCCGGAAATTATGACCTGAGCCCAAGGCAGACGCTCAACCAGCTGAGCCATCCAGGCACCCCAACGCTGACCATACTTTTATAACTAACCTAAAATTTACAGTATAATTTTTCAAATGTCACCTTTCGTCGTATCTCAGAGTAAATTTTTAAGTAGTAATTTAATAGTGGCTTTTATGCATACTGCAGGAAAACTTCTCATTTCTTACACTATAGATAGTCCCTAAATACTTTTGGAAGTTGAAGTGAGCTTGAGAAAATGTGTCCATTGTAGTTAGCACTTCATAGGTGAAAGAGAAATGATCTACATTACTGAAAAGAAATTCTGTTCTGCTCAGGGTGCACTTCAAAGAAAATCCTATCATTTGATAATCTTATTAGGCCTTTAAAAAAAATGTAGCTTGCTTCTTTTTAATGGGTATGAATATCTTTAAATGACTTAAAGTAGATAAACAGTATTAATTAGCCCCCCTGCACCCAAGCATATCAATTAACTTTGAGAAGCCTAGTTATATCATAACCAAAAACTTTGAGTTTGTGGTTTTTTCCCTGTTCATACTAAGCATAATTCACCAGAGTGTTTTCCAAAGTAGTTTGCAAAATTATTTGCAAATAATTTTTCCCCCAAAGGAAAGAGCCACATTGGATAAAAAATATCTGATCGGCCCCTATTATTACTACAAAATATGAGCCATTTATTTAAACTTAGGATTTTCTGTTTTATTTCCTATTTTAGGAAAAATAGAAAGTAACTTTACTTTTTTAAGTTGCTTAAACAAAATTCTCTACAACATTATCTCTGTGCCTGAGTTTATAAAGGTCTCAGCAGCAATGTGGCCTGTACCAGTTTTTGCTATGAGACGTGCAAATTGTTCTCTTCTATAACTTTAGCAACTTCTAGTAATTGTCCTGGAAAACACTATTCTGTGCTCACCCTAAAAAAATACCAGTTTGTTTTACCAGTTATTATGGTTAGCTTACACACAAAAGCAAAAGTTTCAATGGCTTTGCGACTAGACTTCATGAAATAGCCAACACTTTTTTGGCTTGGGAGACTAAAGAAGAATAGCTAACAAGCCCAGTTTCCAGAAACTTAACACCACAGTATGTACTTGAAACTCTCTTTTTAAGTTGCTTAAACAGAATTCAATACACATACAGATTCACTTGTCTTGGCATACAGAGATTAAAATTGAACATTCACACTGCAGTGATTTTATCAACTTTTACAATGTTTTTTTAAATTATTAATAATATTGGATAGTAGTATCCACTACTATTTAATATTAAAATAAACCACCTTTTGAATAACTGGTCTATTTTGTGAACTAAGGATATGATACAAACAATAACAAAAAAAATCAGATTAAAAAAAACAAAACATTAGCTTGCTTTTCCTGGAAAATCAATCTGAAAGCAAAAACAACCTGCATCCTGTTTTACATGTTAGCTAGCACCAAATTACCAATTTAGTCCTTGCAAGAACATGCACTTAAAAACAAGTTATGGAGGATCCTCAGGAAAAAGTCTAAACCTCCTGGCACCAACTACATAATGGTTTTTCCTTTTACAAGAAAAAGAATTATAACCAGTGTTCTTGAGGAAGGTAAAATTTAGTATGGCCTCTCTTATTAGGAGACAAAAAAGAATAAAATAATCATAACTTGAAGTCCTTTGTCTAGTCTCTAATTAAGAAAACTGTCCTTTTATAGCTCAGTAAAACTAAAGAAAGTGGTAAATGGATTTTATAATAGACAAAGGTCATAAATTAACTCTCCAGTAGGCCTTAAAATTCTCCTGTGCACAAAAATTCCATATAGAGGTACACCTGTAGGATATGAAATACTCTCGGTAATCTGTCCCCCAGTCTCTAAAATAGAGTCTGAGCATCCAGGACAATTAAAACTATTGAAACTGTTCACCTTCAGGCAGTAGTCTGAAAGCAGTATGCGTAATATCTAAATATTGTTTGTACAATGCCTTTACTGGGAAACAACACAGAATCCTTTAATTGGTCTGTCTTATTGTTATGAAATCTTTTTAATTTTTATGAAAATCTGTTTTCATTTTATGAAAATATCAAAGGATGACAGAACCGAGAAGTAAAGGTTTCCCCCAAACTTCACAGACAGTAGCACAGAAGTAGCAAGATATAAGGAGACTCTATAAAAATCATAAGTAGTCTTATATTTGTAAAATGTATACAAACAAAATTTCTTTACTGTAGACTACTTGGTACCACAAGGGATTTACAGACCACAATATCAAAGACATTGATCTAAGATAAATGTGGCTAAATACTCATTTACCACTTATTAACTCAAATTAATCATGTAATTCAGTATTCAATCTCTCAAGGGGCTTCAGGTCTTACTATGTTAAAATGCCATCTGCTCCCATAAATGCTGTATTTTGTACATGTTTAATGTTTAATACTTTAATAACAGTCTTTCCCAATACTGTAAGCTTTTTGAAAACAGCAATACTAGCTGTCTTTTTTACCACTTTCTCACCAGCAGCAAAATAAAACTCAAGAGGTTAAATGATCTAAGGTCATAAGATGGACTCAAACTCATGTCTGATTTCAAATGTGGTGCTCTCCCTCTATGCTAAAATGTTCTAACATATTTATAGAGTACTAAATACCTAAAAGGACTGCTGGGCCAATCACCTTAGGAAGCTGAATGTCTATATTCAGATGTCTAACCAATTAAGAAAACATACTACCAAAATGCATGCATCTCTACTACTTAAAGATGAGCAGACATCTTAGCATAAAATAAATTTTATTTATGGTATAAATATATAAATTGTATTAAAATAAATTTAAGGCAAAGCATCAACTATTCAACAGAACCTGTAAGGCTAATAAGAAAACAAAGCCCCATATTTTAATTTCTAATTCCCATAAACAACTGTCAACAGGTCATGCTCAATATTTGTAAGAAGAATGACTACAAGGGCCAGTAACTAGTAACATGAGAATATTTAGGAAGTTTCTGCAGTCCACTGCACAAGGTTAAGCTAATTTTTCTTAACATACTTATGAACGGTTATAAAACATCCTTTATTTTGATTTAAACAGGAAAGAAATTATTTACATACTCTTCTTAATGTTTTTGGTTTGTGGATGTGGTTGAATTCCTCCAGCTGGAAGTCCATAGGTGCTTATTCGTTGTACAAGACTTGCTACATTCCCATGCCTTTCCCGTTTAATGGGCAAATTGTCATCCTTGGATTCTGTCTCTCTCTTAATTTCCTATAAAAGAGGATATCAGTAAATAGGCAAATTAAGTTGTATTTTATTAAATTAAATCCTCAAATGTAAAATACCAAAACACAGGTACAGTGATTATTATATAAAACGTGACATCAAATTTTTCTCTGCCCACACATATCTAAAGAATGCAACACACTTTGGTAACAGTGACTCATGAGTTTAAGTCTTACCAGAACTGGAGACAGACGTAAAGAAAGACAGGCTGAAACACCACCTCCACCCCAAGATACAAAGAAACTCTGAGATATATAAACAATGAAACAAACAATAATTCTCAATCAGGGTGAGCAAAATTTTTTCTATAAAAGGCCAAACAGTAAAATATTTTAGAATTTGTGGGCCATATAATCTCTACTGGAAAAATGAACCATACCATTTGTAGTGCAAAAGCAGCTATATACTTAAATGAATGAACATAGCTATACTCCAAAAAATCTTATTTATGGACACTAAAATTTCAATTTCGTGTAATTTTTACATGACATTAAATGTTGTTCTTTTGATTTCTTCCAACTATTTAAAAATTCTTAACTAGCATTCTCAGCTCATGGGTGTTATAAAAACAGGTGATGTTCAGATTTGTCCTGTGGGCTGTAGTTTGATGAAACCTGTTCTAAGTCATAGTTCTAACAGAAGATATGCAAACCTTCATGAAAAGAAGGGGCGCCTGGGTGGCTCAGTGGGCTGACCGTCCAATTCTTAATTTCAGCTCAGGTCGTGATGTCATGGTCATGGGGTCAAGCCCCAAATTGGGCTCCCTGTTCAGCAGGTAATCTGCTTGAGATTCTCTCTCCCTCTCACTCTGCCCCTCCCCCTGCTCATTCACACTCTTTCTCTCTCTAAAATAAATAAATAAATCTTAAAAAAAAAAAACCTTCATGAAAAGAAGTATGCAATTAAAAAAAGACAAATGGGAAGTCATACCATGTTCAGTGATTAAAAGCTCAAATTATTATAAGGATATCAATTCTCCCTAAAACTGATGCAATGATGCAATGCAATCCCAATAACTGTACCACAGATTTGGGAGAGCGATAAACTGGTTTTAAACTTGTATAGAAAAAAACGCCAAGAGCAGCCAGAATACTTCAGGGAAAACAAAGTGAGGGGGCTTTTCTTTTTAATAAGATATAAAGAAAAACTATATGATACTGTAATTTAGACAGTGTGGTACTGGCATAAAAAGACATACTGATAAATGAAACAAAATAGTCCATAAATAGAAAAGCTTGACTTATAACAGGAAAAAGCAAAGAAAAACACATGATGCTCATAAAACTAATATTCCATATTTAGGGGGTTGGGAGAAAACTGTATTCCTATACCTCACACATTTAATAATAAAACTTAAAAATTTCTGTTCATTAAAAGTAACCATCAGAAAAGCAAATCACTAACCAGAAGATATTTTTCACATACAAAGTTAACGAAGAATTTGTTATCTCTAGGTGTTTACATCTACCACAAGGTTAACCAGTTGCTACTCTCTAGCTGGTAGGATTTCAGACAATTTTCACTTCTTTATACTGTTCAGAATTGTTTCATGTTTGTTTTGTTTTTAACAATGCATATTAACAATGAGAAAAAAAGTTTTTCATTTTGGGAAAACATATTGGTCAAGAATTGTGAAAAGTTATTAAAGTGTAAATCGTGGAAAATACAAAGTATTTCACAAAATGGGCTGCTTCATTTTTATTGGTAATTCACTTAAGGAAAAATACTCCAATTTGCTATTAACACATGGGATATCAACACTTGAAAACCTGTTTTCAGACTGCACTAGTGTATTTCAAACTAATAAAAGCATAAAATCTTTGTAAAGAACAGTACTTACAACTTCAACATGCTAAAAAGTATTCATTTTGAATTCTTCTTACTGTCTCATGAGCTGCCCACATTTTAAAAAACTAAAAGTCATATATCTCTGAGGGCTATTGTCTTCTAATACAGGGACCAAGAACTTGGCTTGACATTCAAGTTTTGTTCCTCTAGGAAAGTAACTCCAATTTGACGAATTGTGATTAAGAGTACAGGTCCAGGAGACAGATGACCTGGTTATAAATCTTGATTCAATCCTGTTCACTGGCTATATAACTTTGGATATTTGTGTTATCTTTTAATAAAAACTTACCACATGTATAACTATGATATATTGAGACAATGCTTCTTGTTTCTAAAAGAAAACTTACAACATATTGCTCAAGACCTAGAAACATTTTAAGGACCTTCAATATTCTCAGAGACATAATCACATCTAAGAATATTAGATATAATAAATCTTCTGAGGGCACAAAACATAAAAGGAAAAGGGGAATGTGAATTAGAAGTATATAGACTACACTGAATAGAGAAGACTCAGGTTTACAACCTCTCAAATACATAGTGCCAACTATGTTGTTTAATCACAAGTATCAAGTGACCTCAAAGCTCTAAGTAAAAGTACAGAAAAAGTTTGCCTTGAGCTCCACCTCCTCTTCCTCTGGAACCTCTTCCTGCTACAATCCACAACCACTAGATACACACACTCACTCACTCACCAACCTAATTTTCCCTAATTCCTGGACACACAGTACCTCCAAATTACTCTTTGGCTATCATCTTCAACAGTAAATCTCATTGACTCCTATGAAGTGTTACTAAGGTGTCCAGTGTTTCTTCCTTCTTCTGCCCTTTACTTCCTTTTACCTAACCAGCCAGTAAATAAACTACTAACATAGTAGTATCTATTTTCTACCAACTTCACTTCCTTTCCTAACTTTGAAAAATGACTCCAGGAAATCCAGTAAAAAAGAATCCTCACTTGAGGAGTATCATGTATTGACAAACAAACTCAGAAAAACTTTGAATTTCGCCCTACAAATGAGAAAAACATCCTACAAAATAGGTAATAATCAATGCAAAATTGGCCAAGAAAAAGACAATGTGGATAATCTCCATATAAATAAGAATGCAATTACACTAATTTGTTCCATAGATAAGAAGGAGTAAGAAGAGGCAATTTAGAGGGAGGCAAAAAATACAAGCAAAAGAGAGGGAGCTAAAAAGTTTGGAAAGGATATAGTTATTCTTCATCTATTAAGATAATCAAAGATACTTAACTCTGCCTTAACCAAAAACAACTTAAAAGATGATCAATAAAATTCACAAACCACTTCTTCATGTTTTAATATGTCTTCATAATAATTTGGTTATCTAATCATAGTCAATGCATGATAATCTGAAAAAAGCAATTAATTTCTATGTCACAGAATTAAATAAACATCACAAAGAATAATAAAAACCAGATTAAAGGGCAAAAGAGTCTTTTTTTTTGTTTCTCAAATGAAAGAGGTCATCCTAAACTGAGTCATAGTTCTTATGCTAATTAAAATTTAAGGAATACACTTAATGTTTTTAATAAAACATTAAGGATTTCCAAAAGTGTTATTAAAACTAGTACCTCCAACTTTACAAAACATAAATCAGAAGATATGTAAAAGTGATATTACTAAAGATGTATGAATATAAGCAGAATTAAATGTTTATTTAATACGTCCACTGTTTTAGCTTTGGCTGCATCCATTAGACCCGTATTTGAAAATGAGGTTTGCAACCTAAAATGGTTTACCCTATTCCTAAAGTTTTTATTTTGTTTTTTTAGAATGTAAGTAATAGTATATAAGGAATCATGTACCTCAAGTCATTAGATACTCATTTTTATGTCTAAATTAAATCAGATAGTAGCAAAGAACCTTTAAGTCCAAAGTGAAAGGACCGACAGGAGAAAATCTCCTTAATATGAAATAAGTACACACCTCCTGAGTGCCAACATATCAAAATCATGAAGGAAAACAACAGGTATAACAGGACTATTTTGAAAGTTTCTAAATTTATTCTCTCCCCCAAATATGCTATTCTCCACATAACTGCAGCCTCTCCAACTTGGACAAAGGGCCTTCCTATTGCAACTGCCCCTCCCCCACTGGAAAAGACAAAAGTAGGAAAAGAGAGAGAAAAAGTTATGTACATTCATTGTCAATGGAATCCTACTCCTTTCTCTTTTTCCATCACAAGAATGTTAATGAGAGCCAAGTGAAGTAGAGTGGGAAAGACACTAAATGAAGAACTCAGACATACTACACTGAAAATACCCCAGTAATTTATAATGGTCACATTTTTCATACTAGTTATATGGATTTAAAAATGTTATTTGTGCTTGCAGTTCTAGGATGAAGGGATTTTAAGATACGGCAGGTAATGAGGGCTAATATATCTATAACTCAAAAGACATTAGACCTACATGGAGATCCTTCTCCCAAAGCTGCTAGACTCCTTGAGGCCACAGATGACATTATCAAGCAGGCAACGAGTGCTGATCCAAAAAGCAAGATCAGGAGATATCCCAGAAGCCCAGGTTCTGGCACTCAAACTTTCCAAGCTTCAATTATTTCTACAATTTGAAATACCTTAGCAGAAACAAAATGTATTAACTCCTTAAGGGGAAAAATTAGAATTTAACTTTCCAGGTAAGTCCAAGGTAAACATTAACATGATTTATATAATAATGTCTTAAATTTAAATTTGTTTAAATATAGGATATAAAGGGGGAAGGGGATACAAATAATTCAGTTAAAAAAATTTTCTATAGATAACAGTCTGTATCTACCACATTCCTAAACGTGGAAGGAGGTTGGAGGAGGATTATAAGGAAAGAAATGTAATTTTCACAATAGCCACTTCTATATTCCTTGAATTTTGTTTCAACATGTATTATTTCAGTGATTTTTTTTTTAAATAAAAAATTTGGTGTGCTCACTAACAGTGCTACAAGTCAAATCGTTCCGGGGCATTCAGAGAAAGACCTTAGTTGTATGAACACACATTACTATGTCTAAATCCTTAGACATTTTTTCTAGCATTACCTGTACTGAACTATTTCATTAATGCAGTGAATACAGCCTACACAGGATTCAGAATATTATCAAAAATATCCCAAGTCA